TTTCGTTGTTGTGTTTTTAAAATATAAAACTGTTGTTTTGTTTGTTTGTTTTTTCTGTCTTTTTTGTTATATTTAAGAGAAAAAAAATATTAAAAAAAAAAAAAGCGTGAAATTAACAAAAGCAAGATATTAATATATTTATGCATACACGTTTAACCGTGACGAGTATTATTCGTGCTAGTTCAATAACGATAACTATAATTTAGGTCGCAGACAAGAAAGATTAAAGAGGGATCTAACTAAGGCTTCTACTCTTTTACTCTTGAAAAGAAAAAAAACAAAAACAAAGAACCATTACGACTATTTATTTATCAATTAATAATACGTCAGAGTTTTATTAACTCGAGATCGTACTACATTGAATTGTACGTGTTTCTTTATTCAAATCGATTGCTTATTACGTCTTTTATCTACAAACAAAAAAAATGTATAATTTCCACTAACAATTAAGCAAAAGAATTATTTTTTGCTAGTAATGTAATTCTACAAAACAACAACTCGTGTTACTGTTCAGTACGAATAAATCACTTGTACGTTAAACAGACGCAAAGTTGTTGTTGTTGTTGTTGTTATTGTTATGTCGAGTTTTCTCATTACAAATGATTCATAAGAATCATAACGCACCAATATAGTTAATTGCGTTATTCGATCCTTTTAATAATTAATTACGTATCACCAACTTTAACACCAATACCAACAAATATACAGAATTATTTCTTAAAAGCATCATTACATACATTTTTGCATAGAAATAAAAAACGATATATAAAAAATAAAAAAAAGGGAAACTATTCCAAAGAAAATATCAGAAACAAATACAAATTTTTTTAAATAGAAATTTGGTCGAATCCTCGTGTTTTTTGTTTATTAAAAAAAAAAAAAAAAAAAAAAAAAACAATATTATTTTTAAAAATAATCGCAAAAACGTTTGGACAAAAAGTTTTCTTCCATTCGTTCGATCACATAGATAATAATCGTACCGTGATTTCATTTAGGATTTGGGAATTCGAAGGGAAAAATGTTGGTCGTATCGTTCAGGGTCCAATGAACGATGACGTTGAGCAGTAGTAGTAGTAGTAGTAGTAGTAGTAGTAGTAGTAGTAGTGGGATTTTTATTCTACCATTCGTGCTTACACGTTGCACGGATTAATCCCAGAATGAGAAAGAAAGAAAGAAAGAAAGAAAGAGGAGTGTGGAAACGTGCGAGAACGTCTGTTCCTCGTGGATATCTCTTGGCCATTTCCGTTTAATTGATCGTCCTGAAACGTTGGCACCGTATATGTGTCCCCCATGGATCGAAACTGATACCAGGACGGCGATTTCAATGGGCAGTAGACGAGCCAATTAGCTCCGTCCCAATGCTCAGGTACACTCTCTCTCTTTCTATCTTGAACCCTTTCCACCAATTTTCCTTCTCACTCTCTCATTGGATATCTTATTGGTACTCTCATTCTCTTTCTCTTTCAGTTTAGTCCTTTTTTGTCTCTGTTAGGGGATTCTCGGTCTATATGCGACCTGGAAGGCTTCCGGGCTGAGGCACCAGGACATTACCAACCAAGTCCCTCTGGGACTACAGACGAAGAACACAGAAACCATGGGTCCTATCTTATCCGCGAAGAAGTTTATAGCCCGGTCGACTCTAATTGGGCGAGAAATCATCGGCCACTCCTTTTCTCTCTCACGTTCTCTCCTCTAACTGAGCTGGACCACTCCACTAATTCACGATTTCTCGCGTATTATTGCGTAGGGGATTTCCCCCCTCGTAGCACCCCTCACCGAATCTTCTTCTTCTTCTTCTTTCGAAGCATTCGTAAAGAAGATCTTCTTTCTACCTTCCAAACGAGAACGAGAACGAAAAGATAAAGTCGCTTCTGTCCGAGGACAAATTTGCGACGGCGCTTGATCGGCCTGGAAGACCCAAAAGAAGATCCCAGTGAAGCTCGGTTTGAACGAAATTATCGGTTCGTCGATTCCAACTGGAAAATCCATTAAACTACTTAACCCTTTTCATTGTTTTTTCTTCTTTTTTTTTTTGAATTTTTCGTGCTTCCGCTAGGAGGAGTAGTTATTGTATCTCTATAATGATAAAGAAAGAAATAAAATGTTGAAGCTTTTCAACACCATCGCGATTTACCGCTGAAAGGAAAGGTGAGCAACCCCCTCCCCCCGAGAAGCAATATCTCATTGAGCCAAAAGAAGAAGAAGAAGAACAAGAGGAATAAAAACAAAAATGGAGGTGACTTTAACGTCCTATCTTCTCGCTTCTTTCCCCCATAAGCAATCGTAGCCAAGAGAAAGAGAGAGAGAAAGAGAGAAAGACGTGCAAGACGTGCCCCGGTAAGAGTAAGATCGTTAATCTTACTGCACCGATCGGTCTCAGATAGTAATTGTTACGTTCTCGTTCCTCCTGGCTGACTGCTTGAATCTGTCCGACCATCCACCTCCTCTCTTTCTCTCTTTTACTTCACAAGACAACTCACCCTTCTCCTCCTCCTCCTCCTACTCCTACTCTTCTTTCGTCTTCTTCTTCTTCTTCGACTCCTACTTCAGTGAACTCTTTCCAACAGTTAGCTGATGATGGTAGGAGTGCCGAGCGTTCACCCACCACCACCACCACCACCACCGGGTGTTAATGCCTTTGGCAAGTTTGTTCGCATTACAATGCTGCCGATCTCTCTTCTCTCTTTCTCTCTCATACGCTCAGATACTCTCTTTCTATGTTCATTTTATTTTATTTTTTGTTTGTATTTTTTACTGAAGCAAAACTCGCTATTTCCGTCTTGGATCGTTCCTTCCATTTCTCCTTTTCTCTCTCTCTCTCTCTCTCTCTCTCTCTCTCTCAGTTTCTGTCTCACTTGAGAGTTTCGTTGTCGTCGTCTTCGTCGTTGTCCTACCGAACTGGAGGATATCCAGGATCCAGTCAGGACTACTCCAGCACGAGGAGAAGCATGGCCATAAATTTGCTGGTCGCGCTAACCGTTGACGGGAAGCACGATATCCGAAATGCTGGTGGATCCGGTGTTTTCGTGGTCTCTCTACTTTCTTTCTTTCTTTCTTTCTCTTTCTCTTTCTCTTTCATTTCTTTTGGTGCTGCCAAATTCGACGGTGTGTCGCCGAAGAAAACCAGTTCTACCAAAAAGCAGATTCCTTATTTGCGAGCCCGACGAAACCGTAGATTCGAGTTAATCGTTCGATGAGAGAAAGAGAGAGCCTTCGACTCGCGTATTCTCACTTTTTTTTAACACCTTCTTTACTCTCTCTTTCTCTCTCTCTCTCTCTCTCTCTCTCTCTCTCTCTCTCTCTCTCTCTTGCTTCAAATCAACGAGAGGACAAAATATATGTGTGCAGGAAAAAAAGTCAAATAAATTCCCCCGAAAAAAGATTCAATGTTCTTCTCTACGAGATATTCTCTTCTCTTCCCCCATAACCCCTCATCTCCCCCACCCGCCCCCTCCCAAAAAAAATACTTGGTTGATAAACGATAAGGGTTTCAAACTACTACCGGAATCGATTCATTCTCGATTAATCGTAAGCAACGATTCGTCACCTGACTACAAACCTTTTCAATTTGTATATATATATATTAATATATTATAATATAATAATAAATTATTATGATATATATTAAATTTATGATTTAATTAATTTCTTACCTTTCGAAGTATCTTTTGGATTTCTTAATTTCCTTACGACGCATCCCTTTTGACGATTTGACACCAAACTTCTCAATTAATTCTTCTTCGTTGATTGAACAAATAAAAAAAAAAATAAAAAATGCTTTTCTTTTATTCTTTACTTTGAAAAATGATTTCAATATTAACTCAAGAAAATAGGAGACCGTCATACGCATCTTTTGAAATGAAACAAATAGGACAAGAAGGATTTGTTTTCATTCGTAGGAGGATTTTGTTGTTGTTGTGTTGTTGTTGTTGAAAGGAACTTTTGGTTAAGACACATTGAAATAAATTACGTGTGTCACATATTTCTTATATAGATTAATTTTTAAGAATTGTTTTATGTGTCGTCGTGTGAATTGTATTTACAAACGATTTCGAATACTTTTTGTTTTTCTTTTCGTGTTTTTTTTTTTTTTTTTTTTTTTTTTTTAAATAAAAGGATATCTCTTAAATCATATTACAGTTTCATTTTTCTTGTGTTCCTTAAACGAACACCATAAGACTTATATATATATATATATACGGGATTCCCCATGTGGTGTTTTAGAAAAAAAAAAAGTTTCCATTCTTTTCTTTTGCCTTTTTTTCCTTTTTCTTTTTTTTTCTAGTCTAACAAAAACTAGGATTTGACTTGTCCTTCATTTGTTGCTTTTTTTTCTTACTTACGATTCCGTACACACACACACACACACACACACCTTTTTACTATTATTCAATCGACACAGATAACATTGTTTTTTTTTTTTGTAACATTTCCATGACGATTAATGAAAATGAATTTAAAAAAAAATAAAATAAAATAAAGAAACTTAAAACTCTGCTATCAAATTACAGTCCTTGATAATAACTAACTGTTACAAAGGGACACCGATGATATTGCATTTGTTCTTATTAATAATTATACACAGCGATACTCGTAGCACTTAATTTGTTAATCGTAATCGTAGTAAGTAGCTGCATAGGTACTAGAGACATTAGGTTAAATAGATAAGAGGAATCAAGTTTTAAATGCAATTGCAATGATATTACATCCGTCACTCGACAACTCCAATCATTCCAATTCACAAATTTTCTCCACTTCACGCCCCCCCATCCAACCCCCAAATTAAAAAACAAAAACAAAAACAAACCACACACCAAAATATCATCCCAACATTTCACAGGAAATCCTCAAAAATAAACTGAAAACACGTTCGTTTCAATAAACGAGGATACACACACGCATTGTCACGAATCATTTTCACTAACACCAAATCCGCCACCCCCCCCCCTCCCCTCCATGAAAACCTTTCTGTTGTATTTTCACAATGAGAAGGGGTGGGAGGGAGGGGGTAGGGGTGGGAAACAAACCACTAAAATCATTTTGAAATGAAAACAAATAAAGAACTGTCTCGTTTGAATCTAAACGAAAAGTAGTCTTCTTATTCTTCAACACTATTTCCATTTGATGAACATTTCAACGATCGTGTTTGGTCAATTCTAAGGGTTGTTGATCGGTCCAATGATCTCTCCACGCGACCGGCGGTGAAGATGGTATATCCTGATCGGAATCTTGTACGTCGATTTCTTCGTCCTCGTCTTCATCCTCAACAGTCTCGTATTCGATTCTTTGGCCAGAACCAGGTCCACCTGGTGGTGCTGGTGGTGGTCCATGACCCGACCTTTGATTATCGTAATTGGGACTCGTACCACGTGACAAATTAGAATGGGTATCTTCCCCAACCAATTGGCTGATCATACGGAATGCACTTGGTTTTTTTTCCTGTTGTTGCTGCTGCTGCTGTTGGTTTTGTTGTTGGTGTTTCGAAATGGATTCGAGCCTATTGATCCTATCGTTAGATTCCCTTGATGATTGGGACGTTGTTGTTACAACAGCACGAAATGCGCTACTTTCTCCTCCCATTCCTCCGATTGAGCAAACCGACGTACGGCCAATTTCCATGCTGGATGCGGAGTGCGGCCGCGGTTGCGGCTGCGGTGGCGGCGGCGGCGGCGGTGGTGGCGAACGCTTTAAAAGGTTCATTCGCTGATGACGACGCCACTTTGCCCGTCTGTTGGAAAACCAAACCTAAGAGTCACGAGTTAGGTTCGTTAGATGGCTCTCCTTTTTATACTTCACTTACTTTTTTTTTTTTTTTTTTTTTTTTTACTTTAACACATTGACCAGTTAACAATTCTAACAACACGTTAAAAACACACAAGTCCCAATTAGGTTCAACTGATCAAGGTGTTAATTTATCGTCACCTCTATTTGAATCTTCCTTTTGCATTTTTTTTTATTTTTTTTTTTTTATTTTAACGCAGAGACGAGATTTAACGTGACACACCAAACAATTTTGATTTTGAATAAATTGAGGATGAAACTTTGGGTTTCGTATATTTTTGTTCTTCGTTCTCGTTTCAACGTTTCGTAAAATAACGTTTGTTTGTTTGTTTATTTGTTTGTTAGATTAGAAATATAATGAATTTGTATTCTCACCTGTACACGTGCCTCCGAAAGAGAGGTCTTCGAAGCCAACCGTTCGCGAGTAGACACGCAAGGATAATGCGACCTTTCAAACTCCTTTTCGAGTTCCTCCAATTGTTCAGGACTAAAGGTTGTACGATTTCGTCGAAACTTTGGTTGCTCGGAACCATCCAAACTTCCATCGTCACCGTCACCGTCTGCTAACGTCACAATCAAAACCATTTCTAATTTTATTAAATCACTATATCAATTATTATTAGAATAAATAATATTTATTTAATTTGTATAGTTTTTTTTTTTTTTTTTTTGAATACGACAATTATTTTAATATTATTTTTCAATCGACGATTTTTTTTCCTTTCTTTTTTTTTGTTGTTGTTGAAGATTTTATTTAAATAATAATAATACATATTCTTCAACACAAAACGAACCTTAATGATACTTCTATGGGAGAATTAATTATCAATTATTTAACAAACAATTGGTCAATTGTACGAGATCCTGAAAAAATATTATTCTCTCTTTATTGCAAATATTTTTTATTTTCATTTCCACACAAAACGATTCCTCTTTCTCTTCTTCTTCTTCTTCTTCTTCTTCTATAGAAATGTTGTTTTTTTGTTTTTAATTTTATAAAACACAAAAATTTCCGTAAAAAATCAATTCAACGATCTCATTCGAGCGGAAACAAAAAATTGATTGACAATGAAACATGATATAGCAATCGTATTCGTCTAACTCAAAAAGAAATTTACCAAATGTTTATGCAAGTTGATTGCAGCTGCAAGAACGAGAGAACGAATTTGCGTTATTATTCATCGTCAAACCTTTTGTTTCTCGATCATCATGCATATGTGTGTGTATGTGTGTTCAACTTGCGATATCTACGATTATTAACCAGTGAAATTTTCATTCGAGAAGATAAAAATAACACAGGTGAAAGAATGTTTAATAGCGATTTAGAAAAATGAATTAAACTTTTGTTCATTTTTACAAGTACAAATACACACGGAAGAATTCAAGTAACAATTTTCAACATTGTGTGTAATTGTTTGTGTATTTTCGTGGTTATAATACAAAAAAAGAAACGATGATAGAATTATAAAAAATTATTTGTAAAAAAAAAAAAAAACAGGTGTAAAATGATAAAGAAACAATTCGATCACAAAGTTGACAAAACCTTACAAAAAATAATATGTAAGTTACGTTATTTTGTTAGGTAGATAATTGGGCCGGATAACTTGATAAAATTTGTATAAATATTGGTGAAAGATAGAATTACAAATATAATTATTTGTTGCAATTAATAATAAATTGTACAATACAATTGTATGTTGCAATTATTATTAAATTGTAAAATACAATTGGACGTAGCAATTATTATTAAATTATAATATATAAATGTATGTTGCAATTAATATTAAATTATAATATATAATTGTATGTTGCAATTTATAGAAAATTGTAAAATATAATTGTACTTTGCAATTAATATAAAATTGTAAAATACAATTGCATGTTGCAATTAATATAAAATTGTAAAATACAATTGTATGTTGCAATTTATATTAAATTGTAAAATACAATTGTATGTTGCAATTTATATTAAATTGTAAAATACAATTATATGTTGCAATTAATATAAAATTATAAAATATAGTTACCATATACGTTGCAATTAATATAAAATTGTAAAATACAATTGTATGTTGCAATTAATATTAAATTATAATATATAATTGTATGTTGCAATTTATAGAAAATTGTAAAATACAATTGTACTTTGCAATTAATATAAAATTATAAAATATAGTTACCATATACGTTGCAATTAATATAAAATTGTAAAATATAATTGCCATACGTTGCAATTAATATAAGATTGTAAAATACAATAATCATACGTTGCAATTTATATTAAATTATAAAATATAATTATTTAATTTGCAATTAATATAAATGCAATTAATTTGCAATTGAAATAAAATTATAAAATATAATTTTGCCATTGAATGATCCAATCCTTAAACGCAACAATAAAAAAATATAAAAAATATACCAAAAAAAAAAAAAAAGAAATAAACAACATACACAAACTAAGATTAGACTTAAACTAATTTTGGCAAAATAAAATAATGACCTTGCAAGTATCCTCTGGCAATGGCGTCGGCAGCGTGCAAAGCATGATCCGCAGTACCGGCAGCGGAAGCGGATGCGGCCGCAGCTGCTGCGGCAGCAGCCCCAGGACTCAAGGACGGTGGTAAAAGTAACGCAGAAGCAGCCCCCGAAATTCCAGTAGCTAAGGGTGGTAACATCCAAGGATGTCCAGGTGCTCCTGGTGCTGGCCATCCACCAGGAAGATGATGGCTAGTAGTTGGATGCTGATGGGCAGCTGTATTAAAATATGGATGCGGCCCGGCCGCGTACAATCCGTAACCAGCTGCTCTCGCAAATTCCGCTGCTGCCCTTTCAGCGGCACGATTTCGTAATATTCGATTTATACTGCTTACCGATGGTGCTGTTGCATTACTGCAAACACCTGAGACATACAACAACAACGAAATTACACCTGAGATACACAACAATAACGAAATTACACCTGAGACACACAACAACAACGAAATTACACCTGAGACACACTACGACTACGAAATTACACCTGAGACATACAACGACAACGAAATTAATCCAAACTTTTCTATTTAATTTTTTATTCATTTAATTCAATAATATATTATTATATATATTATTAATATAATTATTATTATTAATTATATATATATAATTATTAATTTTTAATTATTTTATTTATAATTATAAATATTATATAATATATAAATAATAATAATATTATAATATAATTTTATATTAATACAATTTAAAAATAACAACGATTACAAAATTGATCCGTGTTTTTATTTGCTTTTGCTTTAATTATTTTTGTTATCATCCAATTAATTATTAATATAACATAATAATAGCAACGATTATTATTTCTTATTAATTTAAAATTATTTTTATTTCCATACAATTAATACTATTACTTACTAAATGTTATTCGAATAAAATGTGATCAATAAATTATCCCAACGTTGACACAATCCAAATGTCAAGTAAAATAATCTTAAGTTACATTAATTAAATAGAAGATTATTTTTTATAAATAGCTACATTTAAGATATAAGATTGTAAATCACGACTAATTTGAATTTCTGAATATATTATAAATGTCTTAAAATCGTTTTACTAACACATATCATATCGTTTCACACGAAAACTTCATGGATAATATTCAGTGTTTATTTTAAAGCGTTACTTCCTCCCTATTTCTTACTTTTACTCACTCAGACTCTGTTTTTATGAATGAAACGTTCAAGAAGAACAAGAACAACAACAAAATATATATATATATGTTCAAAGTAAGAATCCATTGAGTCGTTCACCTTTTACGAAACGTTATTCAACTCCTTCTTCTTCTTTTTCTTCTTCCTCTTCTTCTTTTTTGTATTTTTTTGTTTTTGTTTCGTCGACAGAAAAAAAAACCGGGGGAAAAAAAAAGAAGAAAATAAAAAAGCAGCAACAGCAGAAGCAGCAAACGGATAGAAGTTTTTACGAGCCATCTTTCTTTCTCATGTAAATCAGATCTTCCGGGTGAAAGGCATATCATCGATACGAATGAAAACCAATATGACGTTCTAACAAATATCACATGAAATGGTGGAATAGTAAGAACAATAAAAAAAAAACACACACACAAACAAACAAGATATCTAATAAAAGAATCAATATTATAGAATAATTATTTGAAAATAGAATTCATACGAATGGGAATTCTAACCCATTGGTCAAATAATAATTACTTGAATATAACTTTAGAAAACGTTAATTCTTTTGAGAAAGAAGAAGAAGAAGAAGAAATGAAGTGTGCCGATACGGTAGAAACAAAGTTTCGTTTAGTTTACAAGGTCGTATGTTAAAAAATAAAAGGAATTAGTCATTTGTTAATTTTACTTATGTTAGTCGATTGTAAGTTATGTCTTATGTATGGGTATAAGTTGAACATTCGTACGCCTTCTTCTTCTAATCACAGGTCTTAGCTTACGCACGCTCATTGTATTAAAACTCAAGCTGACTTGAGACGAACACGACTATTTTTTTCTTTTTTTTTTTTTTTTCCAAACGAGCTAGAAACTTCCTTTACAATCATGAGAATAATGTTTGAACAAAAAAACAAAAAAAAACAAAAAATAAAAATAAAATGGCAATATTCAAAAGAGAAGAGTTAAGGTGTTCCGTAGATATATTTTGTTTGTTTTGTTTTGTTTTGTTTTCTTTATGGTTAAATCTCGTTTTAAAGTATGTCGAATATTTTTTTATTCTTATAAGATTTGTATAAAACGTCATTCGTGTCAAATTAATTAATCGTAAGTTAGATTGATTTAAATAAATCAAATATTTATAGATAGATGAGATGTGCATGATGAAAGATTGAAAATCACACCGAGTTTGAATTTACAAGTTGAATTTATGTTTTTTTTTTGTTTTTTTGTTTTTTTAAATACAAAAAATTATTTATATTACGATCAATTTGTTATATTTGTAATTTTAACCCTTCAAGTGCACACTTGGTAAAAATTAGTTAAAGTACACCACTGCGAGTGTTTGACACCCCCAACGTTTTTGAACGCATCTCCTGAATCCACCATTTAATATTTAGACACCTCGCAATATTTTTCAAAGTACTTTGATACATCTTTTTTTAAATAAAATTGGTTTTATACATATCTGAATTAACACCAGATGGCAACACTAGACAAATAATCCATTTTTTCGAATTTACTACCGTCCTTTTCGAGAGATCCAAAATTGGGTGTCAAACACCCCCCCCCCATGTGCACTTTAAGTTAAAGTTACATTAAAATAACTAAATTAGATTAAAGTATGTCGAATATTTGTAAGTTAGATCGTTAATGACATTTCCCCCCCCCCTCTCTCTCTCTCTCTCACCCCTTATAATAGTTGTAGATATTATTCATAATTTTATTGTTATTTTTTGTTCTATAAAATATCTTCTTCTTTTTTTTTTAATAATTAAAGTATTACTTATACTGTGACAAATTATATACGTAATAATATAATTAAATGATTAATCAAAATAAATTGTTCATACGTTTGAAACATACGTTAGCTATGATTCATGTAATGAAATAATCGTTTACGTGTTTATAAATGAAAAGTTTTCCTATTGGATAAAAGAATAATGTGACCAAATAATAGTTAATAATATATCATAATTCGTAAATTAATCAATGATATGCAAAAATGATGTACAACCTATTCTCTCTATTTCTTTTTGTTGTTGTTGTTGTTCTATTATTTAATCATAAAGTATGAAAGAGAAAAAAAATAGAGGAAGAAGAAGAAGAAGGAAAAAATATGACTCACCTTCGGATATGAGTCTTTCTCTAATTTCCCATGCGAATATCGTCGGATTTTCTCTTTTGTATTGTTCGATTTTAGCAACGACAGCTGGCGTCGCAACTTTGGGTTTACTTCCACCTATCAGGCCTGGCGGACGAAGCGTACCTGAAACCAGAAATGAAAGGTTTCACGATTGATTATACAGATACACAACCCAAACAAGTAGAAAATGTATATATGTATATATATAAAATACACAAATACTTGTATCTTTTTTTTTTTTTTTATTATTTTGAGAAGATCTGTAAACGAACTAAAATGAAATTCCCTCAAAAGAGAAAAAGAAAAAGAAATAAAAAAAAGAAAAAAAAAAATCAGAAACAAGGATTTGGTTTCTGTTCGTGACTACGGGGTATCGTTTCACCATGACGCGTTATCAAATTAATTACACGAATTAACGGGTCCGTGGGTTATACTTCTCGTCTACAATCTCGGTAAGGATGATTAATCAATTTCAAAGTTACGTTGAGTCATAAATTAAGCTCCGATGGTCATTACACGGAGACTAGATAGAAATTACGTCGGACTAATTTAAATTACATCCCGTATTTTTAGCTTCCTTCTTTTGAAATTTTTATCTTCTTTCCTTTTTTTTTCTTGTTTTTTTTTTTTGTAGGATTATTTTTAGGACCTACATTTTTTTTTTTATTTTTTTGTATATCTTATTTCCAAATTTGTAATTTACATTTTATTTTATTTTATTTTATTTTATTTTATATCTTATTTTAAAATTTGTAATTTATATTTTATTATATTTTATTTTATCTTATTTTAAAAATTGTAATTTATATTTTATTTTATATATTTTTTGTTTTAAATTTGTAATTTATATTTTATTTTATTTTATNTTGTAATTTATATTTTATTTTATATATTTTTTGTTTTAAATTTGTAATTTACATTTTATTTTATTTTAAAAATTGTAATTTATATTTTATTTTATTTTATTTTAAAATTTGTAAATTATATTCTATATATATTTTATTTTAAAATTTGTAATTTATATTTTATTATATTTTATTTTATCTTATTTTAAAAATTGTAATTTATATTTTATTTTATATATTTTTTGTTTTAAATTTGTAATTTATATTTTATTTTATTTTATTTTATTTTATATTTTATTATATTTTATTTTATATTTTATTATATTTTATTTCATATTTTATTATATTTTATTTTATATTTTATTATATTTTATTTCATATTTTATTATATTTTATTCTATCTTATTTAAAAAATTGTAATTTATATTTTACTTTATCTTATTTTTAAATTTGTAATTTACATTTTATTTTATTTTATTGTATTTTAAAAATTGTAATTTATATTTTATTTTATTTTATTTTATTTTATATTATATCTTACAATTGATATTTTACATTTTATTATATTTGATTTTAATTGTGTGTCTGTGTGTGTGATTTTATATCTTCTAATTTATATTTGATTTGATTTTATTTTTACAATCCTCTTTATTTTTTTCTTTTTTAACTTAAAATATACTCAAGCATACATCAAAATCGTTCTCGTCGTTTAACGAACTATTATTATACTCGACAAAGTGACAAAACACCGATTTTGTTTTATTTGGCCCGCATGTCACCCTCCAAAAAACTTTTAAATAATTCATACAACGTTCATCCACCAACTCTCACTCCCACCCCACTTTTCCCTATCATTCAACCCCTTAGAAAGCAGTCGAGAAAATAGCTGATTTTATATGGGAATATATTTTACACACCCATCCCTATAACTTTTCATATTATAATATTACAATATTCTTCTCATCAATTTTTTCTATAGAGAACAATCAAAGTGTTGTTCATGATACGTTTTAGACTTTTAATAATAATAATAATTGATTTTTGAACAAATCTTTCAATTAAAACAAAACCACCCCAGTTGATTGTAATATTTCAATATTTTCATAATCGTTTAAACAAAATAATAATTCGTCCAATTTTACCATTTTAATGGTCTACTCAAACACAACATTTATCTATCTAATGAATTATGAATGTAAACAATTGTTAATATTACTACTTAATTATTGTTATATTATTAATTATTATTATATTATAAATTACTATTGTTTGTTTCTATTTTTATTATTACGATTACGTTAGACTTCTATTTACAACAAATTTATCTCACAATCAATTAGATTATTCATTTATCTTAATTTCATTTCACATTATATCATGTCACGATGAATAAAAATATGAAAAATATTTAGTCTCATTTTTACTTGATGTTATGTTCTTTTTTTTCTTTCTTTTGTTTCATTAGATTATTATTAACAAAATAAAATCCTTGTCTAACTTCATTGACTTAAATATATCTCGATTGTTCTTCTCTCGTGCGAAGGTTGCAAGAATCCGAGGCTGAACGATCACGAATGCATTTGAAATGTTACACGTGTGCGGCTTATTCTCAGATCTCATGTTAGTTATATATATATATATATACATATACACATACACACACACATATATATATATGTATAGATAAAGTTGATTATCACGAACTAGCAAGCACACTCGCGCGTTTCCTTACACACGCGCAATGCATTCTTGTTCTTGAATCACAGTGCATTAGGTAAGCTAAACTTCTAATGACTGCATCTTTTGCATCGTCAACTTACCTGGACATAGTTGGATAGTATATAATTAATATCCGGTGTCATGATGAAGTATTAATTATTCTTAACCTTTCTTCAAAACGTTAATCAAAATATTTGTATCCTTTTTTTATTTAAAGTGAAAACTTCTTTAGAATAATCAGGGTGATTTGAAAATCGTCAAACGGAAGAAACCATGAAACCGATGAAAGAAAAATAATTAATTAATTAATTTATTAAATTGAATATATAATTGTATTCTATATATTTCATTCTATATTATTTAATTTTATATATTAATTAATTAATTAATTAATTAATCAAATTCTATATATAAAAATTCAGTGTCACAATATGTTTGTCTATTAATAATTCCAAAACTACTCAACTTATCTTAATGAAATTTAATTTTATTTCACACGTGATTTTTTTCCAACTTAGCACATAGCACAATTTTTTATTTTATTTTATTATTTTTTATTACTGATTTAAAGATTTTTATTCGGAGGTTATTTAAGTTCCGTAAGATTCTTTCAATAGATGGCACTGTATTGCAATTTAATTATTTTGAAACTTGGTTGTCTTTGACTTCTACCGTGTGTGATCTGCACACATCTGTTTTTTTGTTATTTAATGCAAGTTTTATTAGAAAGAAACGTCATTGTTTTTTGTACTTCTCATTTGATCAAAAATCATATTTTTTTTTCTGTCTATTTAAAAATCACAATTTCAAATAATATTGAGAATATTTTTGTAGAATTAATTGAAAAAAATTTGATCAAGAATTTACAAAATAATACAACATGTGCGAACTTACAGATTAAACAAAAAAAAAAAAAAAAGAAAAAGAAAAGAAAATGAATCGTTATTTACAAGTTCAATAAAAACCAAATAAAAAATTATACAAAAATGGTAATTATAAAAGAACATTGACAAAAAAAAAACAGCTTAGAATAAAATTATTTATAATAAAAAAATAAAAAGAAGAAGAAGAAGAAGAAGAAACAAAAAGAAACAAATGTGACTTAATTATTAATTGTGTGAAAAGATAACAACAACAACAACAAAAAAAACAAAAACAAATAATCAGTACTACCAGGTTAATAAAAACAAAACAAAAAATCGTACACAAACGATAATTACAAAAAAAAAAAAAACGTTAACAAAAAAAGTTCTAAATGAAATATTAAACGTAATCATAATATAAATAAAAATAGAAACAAACAAAATTAATTATAATTATAAAAAGAAGAAGAAGAAGAAAAGGAAAGAAACGATTGTAAAAAGATTAAAAAAAAAAGAAAGATAAAAATGAACTGATATTACCAATCAATAAAAACAAAACAAAAATGATAATTAAAAAATAAAAAAAACAGTTTATAAATTGAATAATACGTAACAATAATTACACAGATTATCATCTATAGAATGAATAAAAATAATAACGAACAAAACAAAAAAAAAGAACTGATATAATATGACAGAATTATGAAAAAAAAAAAAACATAAAAAATATAATAATATAACATGAAAGAAAATGAAAGAGAGACGACAGAGAGAAAGAGATATTTAAACGTTTTTTCCTGAAACGTCAAGAGAACCGATATACCTGTCGATCTTTCTCGGTTACAGAGCCTATTTTCCAAATAAGAAATCCTTTTTCTTCTTTTTCTTTTTCATCTTCTTCAGGTATAATACAAGGAAAGGATAGCCGAAGGAAGATCCTTCGAGGAGAGTAAACTCTTCGGCACGAAAGGCAAACTCCTCTTATACTCAAGTTTGAATATAAGAAACACAACAAGGTACTTGTTACTTATGATTACCCATAAGAAATTACACTTTTAAAATATTCCTTTCCTTAAGTTTGTAAGTACGAAAAGTAAGCTGTCTCTCTTCCTCTCTCTTTCTCTCTCACACACACACACACACACGAAACCAGAATTATTTTACAACGTACACCTGTTATCTAATTTATCAAAATATTCTAAATCAAAGTACCCAGTACCAATTGAAAAACGATTATATTCCATGGTTAGATTTTGAAAAGAGAAAGAGAAGGAAGGAAGGAAAGAAGGACGAGAAGGATAAAGAAGAAAAAAAAACTAATGATGATGGTGGTGGACCACGGTGATGGGTGTGCACGTGGTGAGGATGATTCTTTCGTGGCCATTAGCATTGACCCTAACCACTTGGCATTTGCTAACGTCAAAAATGAACGTCAAAGTTGAACAACAAGAATGGAAGGATGTTTTCTCTTCTTCTTCTTCTTCTTCTTCTTCTTCCTTCACTTCCCTATACCCTCCTACCCTCCTACCCCCTACCCCCCCCATAACCCACCGCCCCCTTCAGACCACCCCACTCCCCCACTTCTGTTATTCTCTCTGTTTCTAAAACTGACGGAGTCAAGTTTTGCTGGCAAGCAAGGTAATGGAAAGCAGAGGCGCAGGCAGACTTGAGCAATTATCGGTCGTTACGTACTATT